CCCTCATTCAGGGTCGTGTCATTTGTTTGTTTGCTCATCTGGACACAACTGTAAAGCACTCTGGGATAAAGACTGAGATAAAAGGCATTCAGTCTAACTGCTTCAGATGCTGTTTTGCCTTTGGAAGTTAAATTAAGAGATACTGCTTCTTAAGTAGTAGTATTATTTTATTGGTTTAACTGCAGCATATATGGCTTTGAATAATAATAAGTGAATAGCTACAGGAAAGCAGCATGGCTATCTTGAGGCCTGATCTCTTCAGACCTCGGGAGTTCGGCAAGACTCTGCCTGGTCAGTACTGGGATGGGAGACCTCTCAGAAAAACCAGGTTGTTGTTGTAAGGGATGCTGATGGAGTAATAAGGACAATTCCCTCTTGACCCGAATTTCCAAACCAGTGCCCCAGTAGGGTGTCCTGGGACTGTGCTGTAGGAGCTGCCATCCTTCAGAAGAGACATTAAACTGAGATTTTGACTACCAGCTCATTAATGATCCCATGCTATTGTATTGTATGTCACTCTGTTTTCTGGGATTACATTGGAGGCTGGCCAATCTGATCTGATCTTTATCCGTCATCGGGTTTATACTTCTGAAGTTGGTTTTGTGAAAACTCATGTTCCTCAGGGCTCGAGACTGGGCCCCCCTACTCTTCAGCATTTACATGTTCCGACTCGGTCAGCTATTAAGATCACATGGTCTGAATGATCAGTTCTATGCTGATGATACTCGAATCTATGTCCATACTTAAACTGACATTGAAGTGGCTGTCCCTGCTCTGTCTAAATGCATCTCTGACATAAAAACCTGGATGACTCAAAACTTCTTTAACTTAAACTGTGACAAGACTGAAGTCATGCTGCTAGGCACCTATCATCAATTATGTAAAGCTAATGCAGTAACACTGTCTGTGGATGGTACTGTATATGAATTTCAATCTAAACTGAAGAATGTGGAGGTGATATTTGATCCAGGGCTTGATTTATGACCCATATGTGCAAAATATTGTAAAAACATTTTTCTTCCATCACAGATATATCACCAAGCTACATCCTATGTTGCCTTTGACTGTTACTGAAAAGCTAATCAGCACATACAGTATGTTTCTTTCTGAATGAATTACTGCAACACCCTTCTCACTGGGGTATCTAAAGCTACACTGAGAAAACTTCAGTATGTCCAGAATTCGGCAGTCAAATTTCTCAGCACCTGTTTGACTTATCTTCCTGCTCCCAACATTGCAACCTTCATTCGTTGGACTCGTCTGACGTCTGACAGGGCCTCTTGCTAAACGCCAGAGCTCTAAAATTCTGCCCCCAAGGATATCAAAGAGTCAGAGTCCGAGCGCTTTCAAATCCTGAGCCAAAACCTTCTTCTTCAGAAGGGCTTTTTTCTAATTGGCTCTGTGTCTGCCCCATGCATCTAATTCTGCATTTTAAATCCTTGTTTTTGATTGTGCTAATTTTGTTTCCACTTTTCCTTGTTAACTTTTATTCTGGCTGTAAAAGGGCTTTAAAGATGCTCTATAAAATAAATTATTAATATGATCTACCTAAATGTCCCCTTTATTTCCCTTTCTAAAGTACTTTTTGATACTTCAATGAATCTGTTGTGTAGTGGAGCTGCTGTACATCACCCAGTTAGGGTGCTGCTCTTCAGTAGTAGAGGTAGTGACTCACTGCTACAGTATTTTAGTAAACACATTATTCACAAATTGATAATGAAAAATTCCCTTGTTTACGTTCTTAATCCCTTTCATTACCATGGATGTCTGTCTTGACTGTTCTCACTCTTCCATTTCCAAGTTTCGTTTAGAAGGTAATTTTCAACAAAACGATGAGAAAATTCCATAAAAACGGAGGCTGTTGCTGACAAACGGAGACGAGCTTTCTATAGCTCCCTCTTGTGGTCCCGGTGAGACCTGCAGAAGCAGAACAGGGTTTAGCGATGAGGGTTTTGAACCACAGACTCTGCAAATCGCTTCTCAAAGTGAGACATTGGAAGAGCCGTTGCAGAATATTGTTGCTCCTGAACTCCTTTGTTTTATATGCCTTTAATGTGTAGGACACTAAAACGTGACAAACCAAGTTTGGCAAACGGCAAAACATAAATACGATGCAGGCAAAGTTAATAAAAAGGGCAAACTGATACTTACCCAACTTGCCGATTATAGCTATAGCTTGTTTTAACGTTTTATCTTTTATAGAATACATATTTTCTAATGTGGGCATTAAGCTGCAAAACGCTCGAAGGTGGGAGACGCTCATGAAATTACTTCACACTGCTCGCCGGGACAGCAAAGATTTCCTGAAGAAATCAGCTCAGAGCTCAGCGCGTTATGTAAGAACACCGCTCTCAGGCTGACGCCTGAAGACAGTCATGAAAATAAGACACTATTCTCTTGAAATGGGCCCAATTAAATACAGTAGTAGTAAAACGTGTCGTGTTTTTAACGTGATGTTAAAAACGATCAAATACGCGACTCGAGAGAATGTATATCAAATCCTCCTCTACAGCTTAAGGAGAGCAGCTACATGCACGCCCGTGTCTCACTAAGAACCGTTACTTGATATATTTACACACTTGCAAAAAATCGAAGTAGTTTCAGAATCCGCTGGTGTATTTTCTGTTCTGCAATCTTGTACTTCATATAGTGTGTCGTTTGTACCGGGATATAATGAAAAGTGATTATCTAGGACGGTATACAGAGATGTCCCTCACTTAAAAGCACCCGACAACCTTAATTTTCGAAGGTACTGTATTCTGCTCTGACCTTTTTCGTTGCATGTTAAACATAAACTGAAGCTCTAAAATGACAATAAGGCAAGGTATTATTTTTCATTAAATCATAAGCACCATCAATCATTTTATGAATTGTTTTGTTTTTCATTACACCCACCTCCTGTCTCTATAGACATTTTGGTTTTGGCAGTCTGCTTCACAGAAAAGAAGAGGCAGGCCATGTAGCATTTTCAGTGCTGATATGAGGTCTCAAACTCAGAACATTCGGTGATCCTCAGTCATCATCAGTAGGACACGACAGTAAATAAACGAACTGGGCTCCCCTGTTGATTGGCGATTAAGATAATCAAAGGCAGTCAAACCGCTCTTCACCTGGGCGCTCTTTGTCTTTTGTTTAATTAATCTCGAGACTTGAAAATTAAATCAAGTCCGGACCAATCCCGTTATTTAAAGCAATTGAGTTGTCACAAAATATACCATGAATTATTTACATTTCTATTAATGGACGTTAACGTTCTTACTTATTATCTCTTACGTAGTCTTATGGGTGGACAGAATGTAGTGATATATAGAGTTCACATCCTTTTACAGAAAAGAAAACCTGTAGAAAATTGTGTAACACGCGCGGATTATGCCATTTATAGGTTTTATTTAGAAAGCTGGGGTGAGAATTCATCAATTTCCCTGCTTCCAATCCGTTATTAAGGTTCTCATTGAGAATTGGGGTGTTTCTATAGCAATACACAGGTAATCTACAGGTTATTTTCCTAAAGGTACTGAGAAAGTCCGTTTCTATCAATCCATTTTATATCAAAAGTAGATCGATGCTGAATTTCAGGGGTGAATGACAGTCGTCCCTTTTCATGTGGAAAGCGCTTTGAGATCAGTTGAGATGAAAAGCGCTATATACAGTACACGTAAATAATTATTATAGTAAATGTGATTTAATTAGAAGTGTTGTTACTGATTTCAGCTGTCGGCCTCCCATCTTGTTTTTTTTTCTAAAAGAAAACTTTAGAAGCGGAAAGTCATAAGTGCCCGTGTCTGCTTGTTTTTATAGATCTCCAGTTTAGTTCAATCTAACGCATTAAAACCCAACACTTCATATGCAAAGCAAAAGCAGGAAAGAACTTGAATACATGTGAGAAATTCAGAGACATATCTTAATTCTGTTTGTTCCCCATTTCTAACACCTGAAATACGATGCGCTTTTGGTATTTGAAGGTATGGGCACAAGCGGACAGCCGCGTGTCCTGTAGACTGACGACCAATATTTTTCTCATTCGATATTAAATGCTTTTACTTTTTCATTTTAACGAATGCTTGCATAATTAAAAGGGACGATATTGCATCGATCCCCGACATCTGTTACGTGTGACAACGACACGGCAGTTCACACCTCCCGTCTCCGCATTTGTCTTTCCAGTCAGGCTCCTCTTGCTCGCTCAAGGTGTCGCTCGTTTGTCGACTTGCTCTGGCAGGCTCTCGTTTCCAATAAAACTACAGTAATGCGGCTATTTAAAAAAAAAAGTTTGTTTTTCTCGAGAGATCGCTGGCTACCAGAAAGCCGCAGTCGTCTGCCTGTTTTTATTTCTTCTGCCAGCTGCGCAGAACTGTAATTAGACACGAATTGTTGAAATAAGGATCTTTTGCCACGGCTGAAAAAACAGGAAACTTCCAGTGTAGTGGGGGATAGCGCATCCCAGCAGACACCCTCTTAAACCTTCATAAATACGCAGGAATGCCCTTTCTTTCTCGAATCCTGGTGCTCATATTTTCATTTGTTATTTGGTTATATGCTTGCTTGCTTTTTTGCAGCAGACGGAAAGAAAAAAGACAGTTAATAAAGCATCCGGGCATGATACATTTTTATATGAACTGATTCTGTCTGACATCAGCGCGCGTGTGCTCGAGTATTAAACGGGATAGCTAATGGGTCATATCTGAGGCTTTAATTGGCCTTTGAACAGCATCTCTTAAGTTGGTTTTTTTTCTGTTAAAATCTGTCGTGCTGAGGTTGCCCGTCTCTCGTTTTGCGCTTGTGCGATGACCGTCCACTTCTCGCACAGGGCGGAGACCACAAGCGGCCCCAACTGCGCGCCGGCTGGGTGGGAGAGATAATGTATCTTTCCCCCGCGACTGTGTGGCTGGGCGGGGGAGAGGGGAGAAGTGATTGATGGCACGATTAGGGGGCGTTTTAGACCTGTCCTGAGAGGGAAGGGGGGAGTGGAAGACACAGAGTTTAAATAGCAGCCCACAGCGCAAGGCAGACACATATTGACTGGAGTTTCCAGAGGTTGCGCTCTCTCACTCTCTCTCTGGAGCCGAGGGCATTTTTTTTCCTTACTTGAGCTGAGGCTGAAGGCGTGGATTTCTACCCAGAAATGGAAGAGGATTATGACTACTACGAGGACAACGAGACCATGTGTGATTACTCAGAGTGGGAGCCCTCCTTCTCCCTCATCCCAGTGCTGTACATGCTGATTTTCATCCTGGGGCTGTCCGGGAACGGAGTGGTGATCTTCACCGTGTGGAAGTCCAAATCCAAGCGCAGGGCGGCCGACATTTACATCGGCAACCTGGCGCTGGCAGACCTGACCTTTGTGATCACCCTGCCCCTGTGGGCAGTGTACACCGCCATGGGCTACGATTGGCTGTTCGGGGTGGCCCTGTGCAAGATCAGCAGCTACGTGGTGCTGGTGAACATGTACGCCAGCGTCTTCTGCCTCACCTGCCTGAGCTTTGACCGCTACCTGGCCATCGTGCACTCGCTGTCCAGCACCAACCTGCGGTCCCGGCCCACCATGATCACCTCGCTGGGCGTCATCTGGCTGCTGTCCGGGGTCCTGGCCGTGCCCACGCTGCTGTTCCGCACCACCCTGCAGGACGAGGCCAACAAGACCTCCTGCGGCATGGACTTCAGTCTGGTGACCCTGAACCGGGAGCACGAGTCCCTGTGGATCGCGGGCCTGAGCCTCTCCTCCTCCTTCCTGGGCTTCCTGCTGCCCTTCCTGCTCATGACCGTCTTCTACTGCTTCATCGGCAGCACCGTCACCCGCCACTTCAACAACCTCCGCAAGGAGGACCAGAAGAAGCAGCGGCTGCTCAAGATCATCACCACCCTGGTGGTGGTCTTTGCCCTCTGCTGGACCCCCTTCCACGTGCTGAAGAGCCTGGATGCCCTCATCTACCTGAAGGTGCTTCCCCAGACCTGCGCCCTGCTGAGCGTCCTGCTGCATGCTCACCCATACACCACCTGCCTGGCCTACGTCAACAGCTGCCTCAACCCCTTCCTCTACGCCTTCTTCGACCTGCGCTTCCGCTCGCAGTGCCTGTGCCTGCTCAACCTGAAGAAGGCCATGCACGGCCAGATGAGCTCGCTGTCGTCCACCCTCAGCGCGCAGACCCAGAAGTCCGAGGTCCAGTCGCTGGCCACCAAGGTGTAGGGAGCCCCGCTCGTGGGGCGACAGACTGTGTGCACGGAGCCGGCGCGCAGATTCCCGGACTGAGATCACCTTCCCCCCACTGTGGGAGAAAGGACTTTGAAAAACTGAAAACCCGGTCTGCTCGCTGGGCTGTAACACTTGGAAAACCCGATGTGTGGACTTGTTCTGTTATTGGGGTAACCCCACGCGCTTATACCTGGGCTACAAGGGGTTCCCCCAACAAACAACGCTGGGGCCAGCTGGCTGTGCCTCCAGCTGCTTGCGTTGTACAAATTTTTGAAAGAGGTAAATGTGTTTCAAAGACTTGTTTTTTTCTGGCTTGCCTTTTTTTAAAAAAAGAGTACATGCTGTAAATTGCTGTAAAGAATTCAACCAGGGCTGAATTCTGGACAGGAGGAGTGAGATGAGAGGGAGGTCATAAGTTGTTGGCAGTGAAGTTTCAGCCTGGTCACACTGGGAAAGAAAAAATGTCCCGAGTGTTTTCCATGTTTTTTTGTGCTCTGTTGCTGTCGTACTGTTTCCTTAGCACTTGTTTAAAAGAGGAAAGATTGTGCAACCCATTCTCCACTTTTGCTAATCTGTGCTAATGAGGGAAAGGGGCCAGAGGCTGGTGAGTGTGATTAGAAGGAAGGTGTTGCAGTTGAATTAACATGTCGGACGACAGAGGTGGTCGGGCAGGCAGATGGCTGTTGCCAAATGTTTTTCCGGGAGGGGGAGCAGAGGTCTAGGAGGTGATGGCTATGAATTGACTTGAATGCACTGTTGTAACATGACTTTGGAGCTGGGGTGACTTATCATCTGTAAGTGGCTTTTGCTGTGAATGTCTCAGAAATTAAGGATTTGTATTATGGATTGTATGTTTTTGCCTATAACTAACTACTGTATCTGGATGCTTTTTAGCATTTCCTATTTGTAAATAAAAAGTGTTTTTAAAATATTCCTCTTAACTTTCTTCAATCCCCGCTGGTCGTGTGAATGTTGTGTTGCTGTGTCTCTTCCCACACTTGCTCATTTGTGCAGTTGTTTCAGTTCTTGAAGACGAGAGGAACCGAGCAGCCTGCTGCTTTAAAAAAAAGCACAGGGAAAATAATGACTGCAGTTCTTTTGGGATATTGAGCTTTTCCAGGAAATTCTTTTTCTTGGCTGAGTTAAAGCAAGGGTGCCTCAGCAAGCCCGCCAGGCACGTTAAAAATGCACTATAAAGGAATTAGAAAAAGAAGCAGAGTCTGGTCTCTAACTTTTAAACATCTGCCTGCAGCAATGTGGTCAAGCAGATGTCAATAATTCCCCAGACATGATGTGTTTTTTGCCAGAATATGAAGAAAGTGACAGGTGGGCTTGAATCTTAAGGTAGAATAGTTCACTTAATACTGGAAAAATGGGGCAGAGTTCACACTACTGTTAGAGTGGAAAGTTATAGGACCCTTTTAATAGATATTACATCACTTCGTGTGCATCTACTCATACAAGAAAACTCCCAGGAACTAACCACCATTCACATATAGCATGAATACATCATTCTTGTGCCTTATCAGGATGCTACAGGGAAGCACAAATTCAGAAAATGATGTACTACACGAGCTCTGAGAAAGACTGGTCTTACTATTGATTTAATTGATTCATACTACAGTCAGAGGTAAAAAAGTATTTTACCTCTTCACAGCATTTCTATGCAATAAGAGTTTTCATCCCAACCTTACAAAGTATATTAGTTCATAAACACTGCAACAATTTAACACAAATTAAACAAAATCATATATTATACAACAGACTTCTGTAATTAATAATAATAATTGCTTACATTTATATAGCGCTTTTCATGGACACTCCACTCAAAGCGCTTTACAGGTAATGGGGATCCCCTCCACCACCACCAATGTGCAGCCCCACCTGGATGATAATTATGCTGGGTGATATGAAATGTTGTTACTGTAGAATTGTGTACAAATGCTCTCTGCTCCATTGACCTTATGTAACTTGGTGCCCTTAAAAATGAAGCAGTCCACTACAGCGTACTGTATGTAAGCTTTCATTCATGTGTCTTTAATCCTGACCATTACTATTAATACTTAACAATACTTGCAGTACTATTAGGATTATATGCACTCTGTATTTTAACACATTTTGAGGCTTGCATTCCACAAAAAAAAGTTTGTACACTGGAAAATGCACCCTGAGTGAGTGATGTATTGAGGTGTGTTCTCCTAAGACAAACATAATTTCATCTCAGCAATCCGGTAGCAAACTTCACGATGTGCATAGAAGAAACTGCATACAAGAAACTGCACACAAGAAAGAATCTGAAATTAAGTGTGTTAATTGCTACATTCCAGAAGACTCCATGGGGCTTTTACCTACAGTAGTAAGGACCATGTCTAAGTTGAAGAACACGATAGAAACTACCTCTATTGTTAGGGATATGCTGCCTTGGAGTCACCAGAAATTCTGGCTTTACTGACACAAAGAAGCCTGACAAATGCTGTCAGATCTTAAGTTACAAGAAACATGTTCTAGCAGGTGTGCAGTGAATTTCTTTTGAACTTTAAGGCCACTGTATTACATTTAAGAACTGTCAGCCAGTGGTAAACCACACATGAAATCTCACAGGACATACAAACCACAACACGTTCTACATGACATCAGGACAAAACGAGTGCTGAGTTAAGCCCCTTCATTCTGTATGAATGAAGTAACTTGCAGGCCAACCAGAGTGTTTTGAGACAAGAAAACTGATTTGTCATTTGCATTCCAAAGTAACCACTAAAACAGTCTGTTGAGCTTGCTAGAGGATTAAGGTTTGTGTTTCCCTCAGCCGTCATTATGTATGGCATTTGACTGTGAGCACTTGTTGTAAGACCTGTAGAATATTAGAGGTGAAAACAGATGATGAAAGATGACTAACATCTAACTAACAGTTGAACTGCACAGGTGATTATTTGGTTATCAGAATTTGTGCTTTATAAGATGTTTAAAAATGGTTGATTCAGGAAGTTGTGAATTGATTCCTCTGGCAGCCATCTTATTGAGTCAGGCAATCAAGTAAAATTACAATCTGAATTAAAAGCATTTAGGCCTTGGAGAAATATTAGCGACATGTGCCTGAAAACAAAAGTAGGTCTGAAGATCTGAATTATTTCCCCCTATTTTCACCTGAACTATTTATTTAATTTCTTCCTGCAAAGTGCTGATCAATTGGTAGTAAAAATCTTACCATGTAATTGTTCATACTGTGTAATTGAAGAGCATCCGTTCTTCAATTTGGTGCTAACCCTCCTTCTGGCTTTATCCTAATTCTGTCTGGATAATCCGGTAAAATGTCTGGCAGCAGTAAGTGACAAGTCAGTTTTTTTTAAACTTGTTTCACTTCCATACTGCTGTTTTTTCCTTCCGTGAGGTTTTATTGAAAAGGAACGCTCAACAGGCAAGAAACTAAACTCAACACTGAATAATGAACTATTATTCAGTCCGTGGTTTTCCTTAATGAGCTCAGTTGGACACAGTCTCATTTGTAATCCTTTGACAATTGTTGCCAATCAGCTCTGAAAACAGGTCAATGTTTGTGTTGAGTGTTGTGGTGGCTGATAAACTCAAGTCCACTGATGCAGTTTGATATCTAAGCAAACCTTCCTGGAGTTTAGCGATTATACTTATGATGGGGTGTGGGGTTCAAGATGAACTTTTTGTGGCTCACCTCTTTCTTTTAATCCACATATTCAAATTATTACATTATTTGTAGTAAAGTATTACAGTTTAATAATTTTAATAATAATCTTGGCATAAATTCCTGTAGGAAGCTTAGGGCTTAAAAATAGAAATTTGTTTCATGAAGGTGTAAGATTTAAATCCTTTACTGAGGTTCCTTATAGCTAAAACAGAATTTAAAAAATGTTCTTCAAATAAGAAATATTATGATCACTCCTATTAACAGAAATAAATCTAGACTGGGAGTGTTTGATTTTGAAACCTGCAGTCTTTAACCTTAATTCAGAAAAAATCAGAATTATATTGTATTTTGAAGTTAGGATCAAAAGGGAAAGATTTGTAGAAATGTGTCTTTTCCTTCCTTATCTAACTCTTCTTGGGCTCCATAAAATGTTATTGCAATACTCTCCTCACTGTAAGAAGTGACAGTCAGAATTAGGAACATTTTTTGACTTTTGTTTTGGCATTGGAGACATATTCAGAGCTTTAGGCAATCTCTACATGGAGCTGCACAAGACAGAATACAAGTGAACACTATTTGTTTGCCATCTATAGATCTCCTGATCTCCTTTACTCAGATAAAGTGCGACTATTAATGGCTGTTTCTTATTTTGTAAAAAAAAAACCATCTTTAAGAAGAAATTCTCAAAAGACTTTCAGACTTATTTAAACACTTAGATATTTTCTTCCTCCTACAGTTCAAAAACAAGCAGGTAGGTTAACTGGCTTCTGGGAAAATTGTCCCTGGTGTGAGTATGTGTGTGTGTCTGTGTTAGTCTGTGTCTGTCCTACAATGGACTGTTATCTGTCCAGGGTGAACCCTGTCCTGCGCCCTTTGCTTGCTGGGATAGACTCCAGCTCCCTTATGACCCTGAATTGAATTGAAGTGGAATAGAAAATGGGTGGATGGTGTTTTATGTGTGTCATTGCTAATACAATGTAACACGTATTTCATTATGATTATGTCTATCTATCTCTCTGTCTGTTAATATATATGAAACACTACTGTCACTTTTCCACAGTACGTGGTGACAGAACCAAGCTAACTTTGAGCAGTGACACTTTAGGCTGTGGTGTGTTTTAAAAAAGGGCAAAAAATTCATACTGCTCTTAAAACAACCATAAACCTGAAAGTTGGCCTTCAAACAAGATGTATATATGTACGTTTTGCAGATTCAAGTTAGCTGTACCTGGACCAATCCTACCAATCCTATAAGAATTAAAGAATCAGCAGAGAGGTGTGCTGGTTTAGCATGCGGTTAACTTGTTAGAATAACTAAAATAGACAGTGAGATGAGAGGCACAGCAAGATTAAAGATACTTCATGCCTCTTGGTCCTCATGTGTTTGAGGTGTCATTTTATTTCAGATCCACTGATCACCTGTCCATGTTCTGAAGAATTGCTATGTCTTGTTTATACAGTATATACACTGTATATGCTGTATACATACAGATTTCTGCATATGCTGTTGAAATAGGTGCAAAAACATTGTAGAGCATAATGGGTTATAGATTGGATAATGTCCCTCACTTATCGATGTTGTACTGTAATAAAAGTCTGTCAAGTCTGTCCTAAATAACTGAATTCCAGAAAACAGCATGCCCACATTTATTCACATCTCTAAGTATTGCTTCAAAACAAATAAAACAAATTCAGCAAAGACACATCTATAGGAACACTCTGTTCTTTGGAACCGCAGTGGAAGCCCACGAGACTGTACAGACGCCTCTGAAGGCTTCCTGCTTCCCTGGGGTACAAAAGGAGGGAATACGCAAAAACACAAAGCAGCTGCAGCA